AGTAGTAGGGGAAATTTCTCCCAAATCTAAACGTTTAAAGATCGATAAGGGCATAAGATTGATACTCGCTCCTAAATCACATAAAGTCTTTCCATAAAACCTTTCACCAATTGCACATGGCATAGTAAAGCTACCAAGATCTTTTAATTTTTCAAGAAGCTTTTTCTGAATAATAGCACTACACTCTTCACTGAGTGCAACGGTCTCATGATCTGTAAAGTTCATTTTCTTATTTAGTACATCCTTCATAAATTTCACCTAACTTAGCATTCGTTCCAAAGCTTCAACAAAAGGATATTTATTGTTAACTTCTTAAGGATTTCCAAAAATTTTGTAAATTGTTTATCTTTATTCTTCTACTTCAGTCTTTGAGGAAACAGAAGAAATGATTTTTCTACAGGAACCTGTGTTTGTTCATTTTCCATTTCTTCCTTCTCGTCATCAACTTCAGTTTCTCTTTGGATCCTTGTTTCAATTTCTTTTCCACTTCGTAATTGAATAGCTTTAAATTGCCCTTTATTTTGATCTTTTGGATTATCTTCCACAAAAGAATGAAGAATTCCAGAAGGTCTGTTACTAAGTGCAGTCGCAATATGTCCTAATTGATTTTCAATATTTCAAATAGCAGCCCATTGATTCTGTATTGATTTCCCATATTCAACATCATCCTAATTGATTTTCAATATTTCTAATAGCAGCCCCTTGATTTTGTCTTTGATTTCCTATATTCAACATTTTTTCTTCAATAAGGTCAAAAATTAGTATTTTTTGTGGGCTAGAGTTAGAGTTAAATCTAGGAGAATAATATGGTTGAATCCGAATTATTATAATTATTCCAACAAAAATTAGGGCAATTTTTCCATTCAAGGTTAAAATAATTAGAATAGTGATTGTTATTTTGATTATTTATAGCATTTAAAGTTTAATAAGATTGTTGAGTATCAATAATCTGTCATAGAGAATTTTTCTCTAATACTGGGGGTATTTGAGAATAGTTCACTCCTATTTGATAAATCATTTTAAAAATAACAACAATTTGAGATGCCAAAATAATCATGAATACTGTATCATGAATACTGTCTACTCTCTTAGGATTTACCATTTCAGAGGGCCATTAAAATTGTTAGTAGTCATTTCTTCAATTAAAGAATATGCTTCATCAAAAGGTTTTGACATTAATGATCCAACCACAGCAGCATCTATAATAGATCGTAATGATCCTACCAATCCATTGTAAAAGATTTGATTTATTAACCAATCTGGCAAAACATGGTGTGGACATTTTCTAAGAATATCCTTAAATCTTTCTCAGGCTTCATATATCGATTCCCCTTCAACTGACAAAAAGATGTAATATCATTTCTAAGCTTAGCGATTTTCGAGGGTAAAAAATATTTAGCCAAGAATTTTTGTGATAGTTCTCCTCAAGTTCTAATAGATCCGGGTGCTAATGAATTTAACCAAGTCTTGGCTTTATCCCTTAATGAAAAAGGAAAAAAGTCTAACCCTAACATTATTATTAGACACTTTTTTATATTAAAATGTAGCACAAATTTCAAACAAGAAAAATAGCAAGATGTAAGTTAGGATCCTCAGTAAGTGATCCTCCAAACTAATTAGTTTGTATC